AGTAAATACATAAGAACAAATCTAAGCTACGCAAAAATTAAAATAATTTAAGAGAAACTGTAAACTTTCATTCAGAGTAGAACTGACACCGGATAGTTTGAAAGTTTACATAAGATAGATTTGGTTATTCTTCAAAAACCAAGTCTTCAAATTTCACATCTTCGATGCCTCTACCAATTTGATCAATACGGTTTTGAAGAACAGATTTTATTCTATCTGCACATGTTTTTCCATATTCATCCATAGAAGCTATTTGAAAAATAGCATGCAGAATTCGTGTACTAGCAATTGGAAGTTCTGATGATCTTTGAAATCTTAGATCTCAAAAGAAATCATAGAAGTACAATCCTGCAATTGGTAGGAACAACATTGTATCTCCTGGTGGCAAAGATAGATCAAGATTGGAGGTGGAAAGATTAGTTGATACAACAAGGGTCTCCACAACTTTTGGGTCGACTTTATTCTTGAGAGGAACTTGAGGATGAATTGAAGACCCTGAGGGAGTTGATGATCAGACAAATGTTTGAAACGCTTGTTTCGAAGATTCAAGGAGTGGTAAAACCATATTTCTCCCTGATTTCATTTGTTTTCTCAATACTTCGGATTTGGGGATGTCGAGCAGTTGTAAGACTTCCTGAATCCGAGATGAAAAGTGAGGAGATAAAGGCATTGAATGTATATTTTTGGGATATGTCCAAAATAGCAAAGCATACAGATTTGTAGTGGTTGACCCAAAGGATCAAATTCTCACCACCATAGAATACAAAGATGCTCATTTTGACAAAGAAAGGTTTATAAGCATTCTAAAAGTACATGAATTTAAAAAAATCGTGTAATACAAATATTCCTACAAATGATGAAAGGGAAGATGATGACCCTTCCCTGAATCATCAATTTGTATAACCTAGAAGAAGTAAACGTCGACGAGGAGCAAGAGCCTTTAGACTTGACTTTGAGATGTACTTAGTTGAAGGTGATCGACATGGTTTGAGGAAAGAATATCCAATAATTTACAACTTGGATGAAGAACCTCGTACATACTCAAAAGCAATGAAATCTCATGATGCATCTTTTTGGAAAGAAGCGATCCACGATGAGATCGATTCCATCATAGGTAATAATACTTGGGTCTTAGTCAACCCACCCCTAGTTTAAACGTGATCAAGAATAAATGGATTTTCAAAAGAAAATTGAGAGTTGATGGAGCTATTGACAAATTTAAAGCTTGATTGGTAGCTATGTCTTTACACAAAAGGAAGGATTTGGTTATTTGACACATATGCCCCTGTTGCACGAACATCAACCATCAGAACTTGTATTTCTTTTGCTATGATTAATAAACTCGTGATTCACCAAATGGATGTAAAGACTACATTATTGAATGGTGAACTAGAGGAGGAAGTGTATATGATGGAGTAGCTAGAAGGTTTCATAGTTTGAAGGACAAGAAAAGAAAGTTTGTGAACTTATCAAGTCTCCCAAATAGTTGTATCAAAAATTCTACCAGGTAATTCTATCTAATGGTTTTAAAATTAAATATATAATTAATATATATATATATATATATATATATATATATATATACTGAAAGGGGAAAAGGATTCCCCAGGCAATTTTATAAAGACAATAAAAGCGTCACCAAAACAAAAACCAATCAGCAAGAGAAACTACGACAACTTTGACTCACAAACCAAGTCATAAGAAGCCAAAAATGACAAAGGGAAATACACCAAAACAAAACAGCACCACCCGCCAACATACAAAAGGCAAGAAAAACCCAAAAGACCCAAAACCCAAAATGAGCATCACCCACAAAGTCACATTGCATTGGACTTCAAAATCTTCCTCCTAGTCTTCCAAGCCATATGATGAAGAATCTGTATCTTGATCACCGCAATAACTTTATCCTCCGAATGATTGAAATTGTCGAAGAACTTCCTGTTTCGTTCCCTCCAGATATTATAAACCGTTGCCGATAGACCCAGTTTCTAAACCGTAGACCAAGATTTCCAAGATTGAGCGGACCCTCTGTGAAGAATATCCTCCCAATT